GTGCTTCTAGAGACTTTGCCATTAGACTAACATTTTAGCTGAAAATGCAGATAGTAAGTGAGTAATAGCAATAGAGTGAAGCCTGTATTGCCTTGCCTCCATGTGTGCTCTGTAGATCAAGGGCTTCATTTTGTGAGTGTATTCACAGATTACTGCAAGTAATGTTTATTTATTTATTTTTAAATATACCTATTTAAATCCAAGGAGAAATTCTATAATTATCACTGAAGAAAACTGCTTCCATAAGCAACAGTTGCAGAATTGGATCCTTAGCAAAATTTATGCTCAAAAAAAATGTTCATAAGTCTGTAGAAAATACGGACTGTATTTTTTAATTAAAACAAATTTGGGAAAAAAGTATGTTACCTGTAATCCTAAGGAAAATGTTCTCATAATTTATTCATTAGGAAGATACCTTTCAGATTTTCAGTTGTGAAGTAGGCAATTGTTAAAATGGAACATAGCCAATGACTGATCTTTCTTTAACTGCTTTTTCCCTTTGGTTAAATTCCTGAAATATTTATTCAAGTTAGTCTGTGTAATATGGTCTATGCTAAGCAAGATATCCATGGTTTATTTGTGCGTACACTCTATTCTGCTATTAAGTAAACATTTTGTTTGGCTTCTTAATACCACGGTGACCATTTCGCTAGTTAGCATATGTTCTAAAATTGGAGCAATACTAGAAAGACACAGTTATACTCTCCCTCACTCCTCATGCTATTATGACAAATATGTCAGGAATGAAAAAAACACTTTTTCACTCTATGAAAAAGTCATAAAAGTCTCATAAAAGTCTCAACTACAGAAAATCCGCTCCGAAGTCTCCTTAGTGTGTATGTGCCTTAGTGTTGTGTAAGCAATAGAGTTTGAAACTTTTGTCAAGAAATACTCAGCAGTGAAATGGTGCTGTTCAGCTAGAGAGGACTAAGATAAGGACAAAGACTAAAGACTGTCAGTAGCCCAACTGTTGTCACAACACTGACACCAGAGACTTTTGATACTGGTTCAGAAGAATTGTAACCAGTTATTTTTAAAACATTTAAGGGAGAGACTGACACTAGAAGATATAACAGAGAGACTGAGAATGAGATAAATGAAAATGCTTACTAGATATTTTAAAAATTGAACAGGTTATGCCTGTAAACTGCTCATGTGAAGAATTTCAGGGTTGGCTGCTCCATGAAATAACTTCCTGTGAATTCTGTTGTAATGTCTGTTTCCACATTGCAATATGAGAATGAATGGAAAAATAATGCTAAGTAGAACTTGAAAATGATCTATGACCTGAAGTGCTAAAAATGGTCTCCCTGTGATTTCAATGGCCTCCACCACCAAGGTATAGAAAAGACTTAAGACAGATGCATTAAGAGGAAGGAAACATCAGAGTGCTGATGAGGGATGTTTTGAAACCAAGTTCAAAACACAAATGTTGTTGTTAAATTGCCATAACTGTGACAGAGTGGTCCCAAAAGGAGTTACTGTTGCGGATTAACTGGTTCGCCTTGCTGTCTATCTTGGCTTATAGAATTGTTATTTCCCTCTGCATAAGTAGATTTTATCTGGTCGTCTTAATCACAGCTGAGTTGACATACCCTATCCATTTCATCAAAATAAGGTTTTTGGCTATGACAAGTAGGAACAAGATTCTTAAAGTAAATGAGATGCCCAGTTCCAGTTGGATTATTTCATTCTCTCTCATGGTCTTGTTCTTTCTACATCCACAGCCATGAAATTCACTTCATTGCTGTCATTAGAATGTGCATGAATGCACTCTAAGCACACTGTAAGACTCTTGGATACTTTTAGGGATCAGGTAGAACAAAGGTAATTGTATAAGCAAAGCTCACATTTGGAACATTTTCTTTATCTGATCATACAGAACAAAATTTAAATAAACATTTAAATTTGTTGGCTAATTAGATAAAGTAAATACTTTCCGGTAGCGTGCAATTGACATTATTGACTTTTTGAGCTTTATTCATTTTAAAGAGAAAAATAAAAGCTGTAGCAAAACCATACCTCTAATTAAGTCATTTTAGTGTAAAAGAGTCATACGAATCATATAATCTGATCTGTCTCAAAATACAGTGCTAAGAGTCTATGTAATCTTGCTTTACTATATGAACACTGCTCACTCCAGAACTTGATTGTTTCTGTGGTCAGGTGGTTTTATTATGTTCACTTTATACGCAAGGAATGGCAACACAAAGGAGACCTTTTATTAACATTCTCAAGTCCCATTTTTAAATTACTTTCATTTCTAGATGCCAAGATCACAGAGTACTTGAGGGCCGTATTTTAAATTATTAGTTGTAAAATACTGACGTATAAGAAGTAGGTTAACAAAGTCAGAATTAAAGTTTTATGTGAGACAACATCAGAATCAACTGCATGTAGCTATACTCTTTAGCTGCTACACCTGGTACTCTACCTGAACTTTAACAGTGGAAACTTTGGTGACTCTTACAGCTACTTTGCAAGAGTGGAACTGATATATGACTGCAAGCTTTTTTTTTTTTAATTCTATTTTTAATCTCAAATATCATTGAAGAGAAGGTGATGTGCTGTTGTATTGTAATAGCCCGAGAGAATTTCTTGTGCTTCATTGTGACCCCATCAGCTCTTGTTCTGTCATTGGTCACCACTGAGAAGAGCCTGGTTCCTCATCTTCATTTTCTCCCATGTAACAATAATACACACTGGTAAAACCCGTAAAAACTGAGCCTTTCCTTCTCTAGGCTGAAGGCTGAAGAGTCTCAGCTCTCTCAGCCTTTCCTCCCATGAGGAGTGCTCAGATTATTAGTGAACACATTAAACAAGTTGCCTCAGTATCAGCCTTTGATGTACAAAATGACTCCAGCTGGACTTTTGTGCAGTTGGTCACAACCTTCAGGACCCAGCTGTTTGGCTGTTATATTAATATTTTTCCTAAGCACCTCTGTAGTCCATTAGAACACAGGATACTGGGCTAGATGGACCTCTTACTGCAATCCCTCCACTCTCGTTTCAAAAACATTGATGAAACATTTTTAAAAGACGTACCTCCAGGATCACCTTCCCCTCTCAGCCCCAGCAAGAAAAAACTGTAATGAAGGAATGGTCTATAATCATATTCCAAGCACATAATGAAAACAACTTGGACAAAAATGCCCTTTTCTTGATATTAAAAACATAGGACAGCAATAATTCTGTGATGTCAAGAGTCTCCCGGCAAAAAAACCAAAAACACACACAAACACACACACACACAAAAAAAAAAAAAAAAACCCAACAAGAAAAATCAAAACAACCCCAGAGATTACTTTAATATACAATTATTATTTGTTTAAAGTTCATTCAAAGTACCCATATGTTTCACACTGCTTTGACAGTCTTAACCCACACTTTGACAATCCTAACCCATTAACGAAGTCTATAGAAAGAAATATATGTTCTTCTGAATTGCCTTGTTAGCATATTTTTCTCTAGGATTCATACGGAATAAATCAGTGCAAGTTTTCTTACTTTGCTTCAATATTTGCATGTGTTGCATTAACTCATTGTGAACATCTATGGTCACATGTCGCGTGCCATTCTATTATTCTTTGCTGGCATAAAAGACAGAACATTTAAAAATGTTATTAAAAAAAAAATCATCAAAAGGAACAACCAGCTTTGATCCTCACACCTAATTAATTGCACATTGCATAGATTTAGCTCATACAAATGTGGGATAGTTACTGTATCATAAATAATTAATAACAATGCATGAACAGTTGTTTGTTTTCTTCATCTTGCCTTACAAGTGGAAAAAGACACGTACATTTCAAACATCAGGAGAGAGGCTAAAGCATGTTACGTCTGACCCCTTAGTTATTCACATTACCTAGGGTTTGAACAGCATTCCTCTTCCAAGGGCTTTTCAGTAATTTGGCTTATAAGCAGGTAGCACATCTATGCACTTCTCTAAGCATCATTTATAAGTCAATACAGATGCTTTCACATATCAAGGAAACATGAGCAGGTGTAATTTATAAAGCCTGATATACCAAGACCCACTCATTAAACTATGTATCTATACAGCAATTGATGTATATTGATACAATTCCTTTACAATATGTGAAAACCTTGAGGACAGACGACCTTACTTAGAATCATAAGGTACATCACAAAGTTCTTTGATCTAGGTATAAAGTGAAGCATAACAAACCTCATTTTTAATGAAATTGCTAATGGAACTACCAAACGCATTTCAAATCTTTCATTGTACATAAAATGCTGTGACATATGCAGTGTTAATCACACAAAATGTATATTCGCTTTTTTCAATTACTCTTCAACAAAATCCCACCGAACACAATAGAAATGAATCGTCCACAGCAAGTGAAATTTTACCTTTGGTTACACAGCAGTAACTCATTGATTTTGCAGAGTATGATTTCACAGTGAATAAATCACTGAAAATGTCTGCTGATCTATGCTCTCAATATGTTTGAGTGTTTGTGCATATGTACATATAGCTCATACAACTCTTGGAGGTCTCTCTACTCTGCAATTTCCCTGGGATGGCAGACATTAGGAGAGTGAAAGGCGCACATTTTCCCAGCAGGGATCAAAGCAGAAAAATAGCACTACTTAGATAACCTTTCTGCCAGGCTCCCTCTACAGTGGAATTCCAATTTGAACATATTTCCCAGGGCTGCATCTCCTCCCTCTCCCTGCTTAACTGTTTCTACACTAGTGGTGGTATGTAGGAGCTGCAATGAAAGGTGAAACCAAAATGTTTTGATGCTGGGGGCTTTGATCCTTCCTGCTCTTTTAGGATCTCTCATATCTGAAGCCCTCAATTGAGTTCTGAGAAACTTCTGGGAGGAAGGATGGTCTTAAAGTGCTTTCATTCCTTTTTTGCTTCTGCTGTTTTTTTTTCCCACAGAAGGGCGTATTCAGATTCCTAAAGAAGGCTTTGAAAAGGATCCAGAGAGGCAATCACATGCATGTGCAGCTATTTTTTTCACAGGCAAGAATATATGGAATGTGAATGGAGTTTCAGCATGGCTCTGTGAGTGTGAGTATGAATTGAAACTCTGTGGGCAAATTCCATTAACTTCTAGGTAAATTAATGTGCATATAGCCATTGAATTGCTTAATTTATATGATTGAAAGCAGGAAAACCTGTCTGCATTTGGTTGTTAATACAATGTTTAATTAGAATGAAGATCTTTAAAAGTAAGAAATGGCACAGAATAACACAGGCTTTACAGTATCTCTAGAACATGATTCTGCCAAATACAGGATTTCTGAAGAGAGAAATGAATTAGTCATGCTTTTCTTGCACAAATAGTAATATCTGAAGTATTTCTAACCATAGATTTATCTTAAGTAGGAATACATATTTCCCAAAGACTAGGCAATATATTCTTTCTCACCAGGAGAAAAAGATGTTAATTGACATCTGTGCAACTGAAAGTTTTCAAAATGAAAATCAGATCTGAACTAATTTACACATTCAACATAGCTGGTAGAAATTAGAATTTTTGCTCTGCCTTTTTGCCTATAATTTTGTTATTTGTTATCCTCCTGTGTAAAAAATTTCAGCTCATCCAGTAATACAAAAAAATACAATATTAACTTAGTGACTACTGGCTGGGAGACTGACCCAGCAGTCTTGCAAAAAAAAAAAAAAAAAAAAAAAAAAAAAAAGCTGCTTATGCAGCTATGGGATTCAATGGCAGCAACTCAGATTGGTTATTGGATAAGACAGAAGAAATGTATTGTATGTTCATTGGACACATTGTTCGCTGTGAAAAAAACAACAGTTTGTAATTTATTGCTTGCACAGTTGTTTTAAAATAAAACATTTACCTTCTGTTATTTTTGTTACTGTAATTGTATTTTCTGATTTACTTTCTAGGGCTGCCCTCTATGCCTGTATTTGACAGCCTAACTATAATGTCATAATTCTTATAGAAATTTTACTAGTTACTTCTCCTTAACTGAATTTTAATTTTGAATCTGAGACTTCAAAATGTAAAGAATATATTTTTTCCTATCCATATATAAAGTTATTGGAAGTAAAAACATGCCCTTTGTTTTTATGCCTCTCTCTGAAGAACATATACGCTCAGTATTTAGAAAAGTACACTAATGCTGTTGTTGTTTGAAGAATGTTTACTGGATGTAGCTCATAGGGCTGCAAGCAAAGCAAGACCCATTCATGTTGGCTTGACTTCTGTTTGGCATGACACAGAATTGCTGTGTTTGTGGTATCTTTATTTAAACTTCATTCCTTTATGAGGAGCAATGGCTTCTGTATTTCTCAGCATCACTGTACCCCAAGGGTGACATATCTCTCTGATTCTTAGAATGTTGTATTTCAGATGTTATATCCTACCTCTGAATACCAACTTGCTAAGGAAAATATAGCCATATTTTCCACAAGAAACTGAAGTTGTATCAGGTTGATTTTCACTTTCTAAGTTACTCAAGCACAGTATGACATTATACAAACTGAAAACAAAGGGCAAAATCTTGCCTGCTACTAAAGAGATGTCATTGAGGGGAAAAGAAAAAAGCAACATAAGAAAACCAAATAAGTCCCATCCCTCTCAAATTGCTTTCATAGATATCTTACAGGCAAGGCTTTCACTTTACTGCCACTGAGAATAAAATGTTTCCAAGAAGCATGACATACAGATAATTTGCCCTTTGCTTTGCAGCTCAAGTATATAAAATGAACAGTTCACAATTTCCTGGTCTCATCTGATTTACAGAATGTTGGTTAAATATTTTTAATGTTTGCTTTTATTTACATATATATTTTCAAGTTTTAGCTATTTCAGTGTGCATTCTAGGCTCAGATTTCTAAACAGGATGGGACAATCTGTCTTCACATTAGGTGTTTTCTTTTAAATGGAAACTTTTTAGTCTGTGTTTCCTTTGAGGCTGATATTTTTTTAAAATGCCTGCATTTTTCCAAGTGCTCTAGGTCACCTATTTGCTATGGAGATGATCTAGGTTGAGCTACAGTAAGCAAGCAATGTTGACAGCAGCACTTCAGAGACAGCGCATGTCTCTACAGAATGTTGCAAAGTATGCCTGTATGCATAAGTGACTGGGGAGCTCTGAAGAGAGAGAACACAGAACTTAAGAAAACTGGAGGACCGTAAGAAGTTAAATATCATCTCCAGTCTTCTGAGTTGCTTAAAAAAATAATCTGTAGAGATCCTAATGGGGCTCATTTTCCAAAGGTGAGGTTGTGGGGGGACTAACAGCTGGTTAATTGTTAGTTGGGGTAAAACAGGTATCTTTTTCATCTGCTTCTTTCTCTACAGCACAACATAGATAAATGGTTTTCTTCATCCTTTCCTCAGATTTTTTTTTTTTTAAGTTTTCAAATTCACTGCTGTAGCTCTGCTCTCCTTTAAAGGTTATATTGTATTGTACTCACTCTCCTCTGCATTCCTTTTAAAAGCTTACCTTTTCCACTAAAACACACTGTGACATCTTGAAGATTTTTATCTGTTGCAAAATTTTTATCTGTTGCTTTAGTAGCTATCTTCAGACATTGAAATGTAATCTTCTGTTTGTCCCTATCAAGAACTATGTCCTCAATACATAATACTACGGAATGAAAATGTCCCAGCAAATGCTTTGAGACAATATTCTGGAATATTGTTTCACACACCAGCATTTTAATACAGTCATAATGTTGTATCTTGCAGTTGCAGGAACAGGCAGTTTCATGGTGATAATACTATTACAAACTTATTAGAAACTGCAGAAACTTTAAAATTTTCTGTTGAGCAGCAACACCCCATTAAGTAGCACTGAGTTAGTAACTGATGAATGTTTTGTGCTAAGCTTGACTTTCCCACATCCCAACATTAGCCCATTTAATGCAAGGATGAATTGACACTGTGCTTTTACATCTTTAGCATACAGATAGTAAGTGCCATACGCAAAATTTTCAGACAGCTCTGTCTCAAGAAAATTAAACTCCTTTCCTTTTCCTTCTCTTTTCATGTCTGTGTTCATTTTAGCTTAACCATACATTTTATATTTGAATGGAGCAATGAGTTTTCTTTGTGCATATCTTCACCTCCCCCATCAACATTTCATATATTTGTATATCATCAACCGTCTCCTCATTAAGTTTCTTTCTAATATAATACATTCTACTCCTGATGATCTTAGATGAGACCTAAACAAAGCCTTGCATAATGAGATCATTATCTATCAAGGTTTAAATTTTTGTTAATTCAGAACCTGCAACAGCATATAATGCTTTTACATGGGAGGAAAGCTAAAGAGAGGGATGGGCAGTTAGACTAAAGATGTTAGAAACAAATAATAGAAAAAAACAATGACAAAAAAAAGAAAAAATCATTGCAAATATAAATTAAAGCAGCTCCAAGTTACTACTACACACTGATATCTACTTGTAAGAACTGAAGATTCAGACCTGTGACTATCAAATCCATATACACAGATCTCATACTACTGCCTGCGTTGGAACACATTGAATATTTAAATGCTTACTACAATCCTTGACACTGAAAGGCTCTATTGTGCATCACAATCCCAAACAACAGAAATTCCTAGCAGTTCCTGTTCCCCTCTCTGCTGATTTACAGTAGGATGTTTCTACACCACACCATGCAGTACTAGATCAAAGATGTCTCACTTAACATGGTCATACAAATAATGCTCCACAGGGCGAGGTTAAGACATTATCAAGCAGATAAGAAGATGTGCAACTTTGCTCCAAGTTATCACTGAAGGAATTTGACCAACAGAAGTGTAATACTATAACATGATGGAAAGTACAGCAATAGTGGAGTGGCACAATCCCAGGCTTCAGCAGAGAACAAGCCCAAATGCAGCAGCCATAGACACAGAAACAAAAGAAAAAGATTGCTTACCTTCAGAATGCCTCCAGCAGGCAGAGATCTCCAGCAAAATACTTTTGCCTCACTGCCAACGTTTCAATGAGGTCTGGGAAGGGTGGATCCCTAAACCTTCCAGTCACTTAGGTCTATTGCATGCATCTGAGTTCCCCTGGGTTGGCTCTGCCTTGCCACCAGGTGCTCAATCACTGTTTCAGGCCATGATTTAGCATTTCTGATACAGAAAGCATCATGTTTTCTCTCCTTCATTTCATTTACATACAGGGCTAAGTATGAAGGGTGTGAATCACATTGGTGGAGCTACCTCACTTTTAGTTTAGGAGCCTCTGTAGCTGATGCTAATTAGGTAACTCTAAGCAACATGGTGTAGATAAACACAGATGTTCTACAGTTGTATGTCACTCCTTAGTGGACAAAGGTGGTTGAAAGTTCCATGAACAACACGTTACAAAGGCTCTTTGGTTTTCATTCCCTTTATATTTTCATCATTCTGTTGATAGTGCCTGTTGACGAACTGTTGTGTTATCATAAATGAGGGAACAGTGTCATGGTGGGGGCTTGTGAACTTCTAACTTCACCACTTAAGAAAAAAAGTGTACTATCTATAGGAAGCTTAAATTCACTGGTTTCCTAGCTGTCTCAAGTAATCTTAATTAATTCTTACTGAAACACCTGAACATATGATTGCAATGAAGTAGAATGACAACTGGGATAGATGTTACTGCTCAAAGAACAAGGCAAGCACACACCTGAGAATCAAATGCAAATGCCTTCCCCAAACTGGTGAAGGAAGAAAATTCAGATTTCCCAAATTAATTCTATCGCCATTGTTGTAAACCTACTATTCCCTTTTGTCACAAAAATGAATTTAATCTAGTTCCACATTTGTTTTTGCTTTTTCCTAGAGAAACAAGTTCTAAAGAGGATTCTCCCCTCTTTCGCACCAAATAGCTTGTCAGTTGAACATCCCTTCAGAACAACTGAGGTTTCATCTTGAGAAAAACAATCTTTAACTGAGAAACTCCAAGCTGCTACATAAACGCTTTGCCTCATTGTATAATCAATGAATATACAGATGCCATAATTAAGAAATACAGAGGAAAGATACAGGAAAGTTAAGCTAAACAGGTTCTCATACTAAAGAAGAATGGATGGAAAG